TGGATTCAGGGTAGGAAAAGGAGAAGAAGTGCTAACTTGTTGTTTGGCAATTAAAAGGCAATAGGACAATGCTAATGCTGGTATATAGCTAAAGAAACATCAAAAGGTGTACATGTGTACCAGAAGGCTCTTGTATAATCATAGATACCCGACAGCTTTATGGCTGAGAGGAGCAGATCTGGGATCACACAAATTGGTAGGCTGAATAAATGAAGGCTAGATTAGGCAGGGGTGAGAGGTGGTACATCCTTCCTAATGGAAGTAATCAATGTTTTGCCTGCTCGGGCCTCTCAGCCATAATGGGGAGGAGCGTGTGTGAGACTTTTATGTATTCCATATTGACTTGCCGGGGGAATAAGAACCGGACTGTGGCTGCCCAGAATGGCAGGAGCCAGAAACTTGAGGTTCTGAAAAAAAAAAAAAAAAAAAAAAAGGAACCGGACTGTTGCTCCCCAGAATGGCAGGAGCCAAAACCGAGAGGTTCTATTTGAAAAAAAAAAAAAAAAAAAAAAAAAGGAAGAAGAAGAAGAAGAAGAAAAAGAAGTAGAAGAAGTCTCTTTTTAAAATTGTGAAATTAACGGAGATTGGCTGAAGTTTAGCTGGGTTAGTGTGAAAAACAACGATAGAACCGACAGAAAGAACGCTCGCCACTGAGTCAGCACTGTTTGTTTGCCCTTGACCTGCCATGCATTGATCTCCCCCCTCGAGTGTTGGCAGACGGAATAGTCGGAGAGCAGAAGACAGGTTCGCCCATCATGAAGGCTTTGACGAGCAAAGGTCTCAAGCTGCACGAGCATGTGTTGAACCCCCCTGACACATGGTCGATCTGCAACATCTACTACGAGCATGCGCAATGAAGGACAGAGTAGCGGGAACGACAAAATCATTAAATGGATTAATGGGGGGTGGGAAGGGAATCTGAAACCCCCTGGAAATCATTAAGGCTGGAGTGGCAAAATCTCGGTAATGGTGGGAGGGGCAGTTGGACCCCCCCTGAATGTCAAAAAAAAGTCAGAAAAAACGTTATAAGCTGCAGGGGCAAAATCTAATAGGATGTTTTTTTTGGACCCCCGTGATAATCATTAATGGTGGGAAGGGCATAATTACCCGATCATCCTCATATTGGTTCACCAACCCTGCTACGCATGATGAAGTAGTCAGCGACAATACACCGGCGGCAATCGTCATGGGTTTGGAGCGACAGGTGAGGTAGGCTCTCAGTCTGGGGGAGTGCCCTGATCATTCCCTCCATTACGGCAGGGCTTTGTTGGGGGACACGACCAGCAGTCCGGTGGACATCGGGCCTGGCTCCCGACAGCTGCCTTGATGATCAAAGGTGGATCTTTGTCCACCCTTGCAGGCTCTGCTGGGACACCGCAGTCGCGCTGCAATAATGTTCATCAAGGTTCAGCTATCTAGCGGTGTTTTGTGTTCTTCTTACAGCCTAGGCACACACACACACACACAGACACACACACATACATTTTTGTGTATTCAATCCCCCGCGGTCTCCCATTGCGAGCGATGATGCCAGGTACTACAGGCCTCAGGTCTGTATATGTCGCTGTGCTGTGCAGGGTCGATAGACCCATTTTTCCAGCAGATTAAAAAGCAGATGTTCTCCTATGACTATCCTTGTGGTGCCTACAGCTCAAACCAGACTGGGTCCATCAAACACCCTTGTGGTGTCTACAGCTCAATCTGAGGCATCGGACAGAAAGCAGGGGTAGAAGTATCAGGTTCTCTCGGCTGTAACGGGGAGCGGCATTAGTTTCATATGCATTAGGACACTCCCTGGAAAAGAAGGAGAAGAAGATGTTTGGAAGGTGTGTATTTTGCAAGAGGACCTTGGTGGTGTTGTTTTTTTTTTCGGAAAAAAAAAAAGGTAGGTGCATGGAACGGACTCACTTTCAGAGTTTCTTGCAGAGCTGGGTGAAGATCTGGCTATGGCAGACTGAAACCCTCATCTCGCCAGTTTCTTCCAGAGCTTCCTCCTCTCTGTCCCACTGTTGCATACTGTAAAGGTGCAGACCAGAACAGGAACCGACCTCTCTAACAAAGTACAAGATAGCGCAGCGGAAAACTTGGATACCAATGATCCGAACAATCAATATTGCAATGCAGCCCATAACATACATCATCATCATCATTCCATGGTGTGAAGGGGTCTGGCGCTCACACAGGAAGAATGCGCCAGCCCCAACCATACATGGACGAAGGAGAGGAGGGGTTAGACAGAGAAGAGGGGAAGATGGGAATGTCGTCAACACCAAATCTTCGGCACAGGCCCAAATAGTCACTCTTCAAAATGTCTGAATCCCAATGTCGAGTCTGGATCCACTGTCGTCAAGTCTCAAGTCACAGCTCTCTCTCTCTCTCTGTAGTAGTCCGCTGATACTGAGAAGTCAGGTGGTGAGAGGGGAAGAAGAGATGGTGGATTTAGAAGAGGAAGAAGAAGAACTCTCTCTCTCTCTTGCTCAATCCGATACTAACCTGTGAAGTTGGCGCCTTGATGCAGGTACCTTGAAGATGGAGCTGGAGCTATGGCGCCACAGGTAAGTCCCACTGGCCTCCGCCAGCCATCTCTCCCAACTCTACTACTACCACCTACTAGCGGCCAGCGCTGAAGACTACTGCTATGGCTACGAGGCAGTCCAGGAGGCTGCTCTTGCCAATGCCGCAGGGAGTCGGGGTCTGCCGCTGCAGCTCCTGCTTGAGGCTCTCGTGGGAACAGGCTAAAGATAGCCTGTTCCCGAAACCCTGGTTTTGTGCCTGAGTGTTAGGACAGGCCGATCTTATGAGGGCCCGAAAGTGGCCCTCCATTTCAGGCTGAAAAGCCTCAGGGCTAAAAAGCCTTGTTTTAGGCTGAAACGATGTAGGGCCTGCAGACCCTCGTTTTTCAGTCTTTCAGGCTGAAACGAGAGGGGCCTGTAAGCCCTTATTTCTAGGCTTTTAGGCTGGGAATGCTGGACGGGCCCTGCAGGCCCGTGTGGCTACGCAGTATGCCACAACCCCCCCTCCTTGAAAGACCGAGCTTACCTTCGAGGGCGAAGCTGTCTGTCTGAGGGAGGGACCACGGTCCGCGTGGGAGGGGCAGGTCGTGAAGGTCCCTGAGCTAACCTTTGTCGCTCGTAGTGAGCGTAGATCAGCGGTGCGGATGCTTTCAAATCTGTTCCTGAAATCCACCGAGTGCCGTCGGGATCGCATGCTCTGAATGTAACTTTGTACTGGCGAGGCTTGCTGCCGTACTTGCGATCCGTGATGACGCGGTCAACTTCCTGATGACCATCCATAGATGGAGGGTCCTGCGATCGTCGGCCGGGGAAGTCGTCGCTCTTAGCTGGTGTATATGTTGCCAGCTTCGAGGCGTGAAAGACTGGATAGACCGTCAAATGCGCAGGGATGTTGATCACAAATGAAGGGCCATCAGGCTCATCGCCCGCGGCTGATGTTACGGGCCATGGTCCAAACCACTTGGGAAGCAGTTTGCGTGAAACATCCTGTTCCAGTGCAAACTCTTCCGTGGAGACCCAAACCAGATCGCCGGCGCGGATGGGACATGGCACGTGACGCCTGTTGGCTTGTTGCTGCATGCGGACTTGAGCCTTTTGCATGTTCGCGCGGGCTTGAGCCAGCAATTCCCTGTACTTCCGGACGGAAGCGGGAGAGCAAGTGGTGTCGATGTCGGCTGGTCGTGGGAGGAGAAGGTCGGCGAAGATACGGCCTTTCCGTCCACCGTGGTGCAACTCGAATGGAGTCACGCCGATCGTCGGGTGCACCGAAGTGTTGCAGGCGAACTCGATGTCGGGGAGGCGGTCAACCCAATCTTTCTGGTCCGGACGGATGAGCGTACGAAGCATTATTTGAGCGTTTTGATGTGCCCGCTCCGTTTGCCCGTCTGTCTGTGGATGCCGAGCCGAACTTGGTTTCATCTTCGTGTCGGACTCCTGCATGAGAGCAGTCCAAAATGCCGACATGAAGCGAGTGTCGCGGTCGCTGACTATGTCTTCCGGTACACTGTGGCCACAAATCCAACCGCTGTGCAAGAGGCGGGCCAGCTTGGGAGCCATGGAGTAGTACTTGCAAGGGAGAAAACACGCATACTTACTCAAACGATCCACAACCGTGAGGATGCCGTCGTGCCCGAGGCGATCGCGAGGAAATGGTCCGGTGACATCCATGGCAATGGAAAGGCCGTGTTCCCGTGGGATAGGCATCGGGTGCAACTCGCCGTAGGGGTTGCGATTGCGGGGCTTGCTTCGTCGGCAAACTTCGCAAGAGTCGCAATACCGAGTGACATCGGTAATGAGGTCGGGCCATCCGAATCGTTGTTGAAGCCGTGCAATAGTGCGGTTGACTCCGAAATGGCCGGCGAGTCGCGAGTCATGGTACTCCCCGAGAAGGTGAGTCCGAAGACGACGGTCTCGTGGGACACACAATAAGTCCTTGCCTCTCGAGTGGAGGAGGAAGTACCCGTTGGCAATGCGATAGTGGCTGGCAGTCGGGTAATCCGAAGATAGTTGCGCATACAACGTGGCGAAGTCTGGATTATACTCATAGCCCCGGATGAAGTGTCCCTGGAGTTCCTCGTCGAATGCGAAGGCATGATGTGTCATAGCGCAAAGATCGGGTCTTCGCGAGAGTGCATCTGCTGCGCGATTGGAGAGGCTGGGGAGATGTTTTGGTGTGAAGTCAAATTGGTCGATGAAGTACATCCATCATCCGATCATGCTGCTCACCGTATCCTGCGTCTTGTAGTAGGTCAATGGGTTGTTGTCCGTGACCCATGTGAACCTACGACGCCCAAGGAGGAAGTGCCACCATTGCTTGAGAGCCATCACGAACGCGAGCAGCTCCTTCTTCCTTGCATCATCAAGCGAGTTGGTGGGAGGCACTTTGTGGCTGAAATACTCCACAGGGTGCCAGTCGTCGCCGTCGTGTTGTTCCAAGACTGTCCCAATGCCATAGCCGGAAGCGTCAGTTGTCACTCTCGTAGCCAGGGTGGGGTCATAGATGCTAAGGACGGGTGCCATAAGCATGGCCGTCTTGAGTGCTTAGAATGACCGGCGTGCGTCGTCATCGAATACGAATGGCACCTTTGGCGATTGGAGTCTCGTCATAGGTGCAGCAATCCTTGAGTATCCGGTGATGAATCGCTGATAGTAACCCGCCAACCCCATGAATGAACGAACGTCCATGGTGTTGGTGGGCTCGGGCGGGCCATATGCGGAGGGCCTCGATCTTGTCAAGCGGACGGATGCCTTGTGGCGTCACATAATGTCCCAAGTACTCCAGCTCCTGCCGCGCGAATTCGCATTTGTCGCGGTTGGCTTTGTACTTGGCTTGTCGTAGCCGCTCCAAAACGGTGCGCGCAGGTGTTCCACATGCTCGTCCAAACTCCGGCTGTACACCAGGATGTCGTTGAGGTAGATAAGTACGAATCAATCCAGGATGTGTCGGAATTCCGTTGTCATAGCCGCTTGGAAAGTAGCCGGGGCATTCGTAAGGCCAAATGGCATAACCAGCCATTCGAAATGCCCATATCGCGTCTTAAACGCGGTCTTGTAACAGTCCTCCTGCCGAATCTCGAGTTGGTGATATCCCGACTTGAGGTCAAGCTTGGAGAAGAACTTGGCGCCGCCCAGCCGTTCCAGAAGGTCGTCGATGTGTGGAAGAGGGCCGGCGTTTCTGATCGTTTGCGCGTTGAGCTTGCGATAATCGATGCACAACCGCAAATCCTTGTTCTTCTTCCGGACGAAGAGAACAGGAACACCGTATGGCGATGAGCTATGCCAAATCCAGCCTTTCTCCAGAAGGTCGTCGAGTTGTGTCCGTAGCACACTTAACTCTTCCTCGCTCATTCGGTAGATGCAACCGCGCGGAGGTACGGCCCCGTCCTCGAGGATGATCTCGTGGCGGATGGGCTGATCCAGTACTACTCCGTGCAGGCCTTCGAACACGTCGCCGTAGGCGTCGAGAAGCTCGGTGATGCGTGGGTCCGAAGATGAGTCCTTCGATGAAGCGTCATGGGGCGGGAGGGCGTGGAGAAAACACCCCCCCATCTCCTCGATGTTGTCTTTGATGATGGAAGCTCGCATGCTTGCGGCGGACACCACGTGGCAGCTGATCGAAGGGGAGCTACCGTGCATGGGACTAGTACTCCGTTCTGATCACGAACGTGAACGATGCGGCGGTAGAAGTTCATCGGGTGATCCTCGCTTCGCAACCATGACATGCCCAAGATTATGTCGAATTTGGTGTCCAAGATATCGAAGGACACCGCCTCGCTTGCATGCGGGGCAAAGTACACGGGAACGTCGTCTATGCATGGTCTATTGACTTGTGCGTGTGGCCGTCTGCCAACGTGACTTGCATAGGCTGGGACTTCCTCCGGACGCATGGGCCAAGGCCGGCGCGTACCATAAAGTCCCGGCTCATGTAGTTGCGAGATGCTCCGCAATCGATCAAAGCGCTGCAGGTCGCCTCTCCGATCTGAATGCGTACATATAACAATGGTGCGTCGATGTTGTCGTACCGTTGTGTCTTGAACTCGCGGTCGATCTTCGCAATGTAGGTGTGAAGGTCGACAACCTCTACTCCGGCGTCCATCAACGGAGTTGGTACTGCATTGTGCAAGTAATCCCGCAATTGTGCCATGAGCACGTTGCAATGCGGTTTCAGCAATCGATCGGACCGGGGAAGGGGCATCCATTGGAAGTCCGCAAATGTCAACGGGTCGAGCTCTTCAAGTCTTGACCATGACATTGAATCCCCGGCGGTAGATTGTTGCACGTGGAGCGGTTGGTCCAACGGTGGGACCAAGTGGATAGCATAGTCCTCGTAAGTGTACCGAGGACTTGCGACATTCGCATCCTCCCCAGATGTGTAGGAGGCCGCTAGCAAGGCGGCCGAATCTGGCGGAGTGAGAGGTGGAGTCGCCTCACCTCCTACGCAACTCAGTTTCCCGAGTTGATACGAGGCCGAACATCCTCTTTGCCTTGATCAGGGCATTGGGAGGTCTTGTGCTTGGTGTTGTTGCACCAATAGCAGCAGCCGTAGCGGCCGCGCCACTTATATTCCGCCTCGGTGAAGTGAAACTTGACCCATGGTGCTGGCTGTTCGTTTCCGGCCGGCGATGAGGTTTTCGCCTTTCCGTTTCCTCGGGACTTGTCGTTGCTTCGCGGCTGGACAGCAGCCACCTGATCTCCCTCACGTGACGCTTGGGTGGCTGCCGGGTCTTCCAGAATGTTGTTCGATTGGACTGCAGCGACATGCTGCGGTCGCGGACCAGTTCTCACCTTCTCCACATACGTTGGCTGCCATGCTGATTTCTCATGTGCAGCTGCCCTGTTTGTCTTAATGATCTCCCTCGCCTTGTTGATGATTTCATCGAAGGTGTTGTACTGCTCGCGATCACCAAGTGCAAGGCTCAAAGCGGCGCATGACCGGTTGTAGAACTCCCGACGCAGATGCGGAAATGGCAAGTCCAGATCGGGCGTCGCCACGATCTTCTGCCAATCCGTGAGCCAATCATGTGTCGCTGTGTTTCCTTGAGCCATCGTGAAGATGCAGTTGATGGCGAGCGCCGGGGCGTCGTCAACGATGAACCGCTTCTTCCATTCCTTTGTCAGATCCTCCCAGGAGACCTTGTGTAGGTCGAAGACCTGGACGCCATGGACAGTTGCCATATGGCTGAGCCAGATCTGGCATCCTCCCTTGGCGTTAAGGAACAACGCGCCGATGAACATATGTTCCGGGACCTCATGAATCCCCAACTCTGTTGTGAATCCTTGCCACCAGACGACCGGGTCTTGATGTGTGTAATCATCAAACTTCTCGATCCGGAAAGTCGACATCTTGTAATGCTTCGCCGTGTTGGTGCTGCGATCGGGGTCAGACGACTGTTGTCGCTGCCTGATCTCGGTCTTAAGTGTGTCGAGTTGCTGGCTGATGGTGGCTGGCGCTGCGAAGGTGCTAATATCACCTAGCATTGCCACTACGTGATCGACGCGTTCCTCCAGTTGGCGGGCAGAGGGTGCACTGCTGGACTCGCCAGCCTCCGGTCTTGGTGCAACTTGCTCCAAGTCCTGCATATGGGAATCAAGTGCCCGTGTTGCATCCTCTTGCTGAGCCTTGTGGTTCCGCATGGCCCGCTACATATTCGCCAGCTCGGACTGCAGGTGGTAACAAGTGTAAACCAACCGAGTCACGAGTTTGGCCATGAATTCCCTGTGCTGCTCTTCGGGTGTCGCGTCGTCGTGCTCTTTCAGATGCTTCGTGCCGCTGCAGCAGATCTTGGGCTTCCTTGCGGCGTGCCTAGGTATCTGCATGTGCTTCGGCCTGAAGCCGCTGCTTCAGCCTGTAGGCGGGCAGCCTCGGCTGCCAGCTGGCGTTGTTCCTCAACCTTGATCAGTGCGAGCTGAGTCTGGAACTGTTGTTTGTAGTCGGCAATAGACTCGTTGGCCAGTTGGCCTGGCATGCCCAGAGCTGGGCCCGTCATGTTGCTAACGCGGCACTGCTGACGTGGCACTGCTGACGTGGCACTGTTGTTGACATGGCACTGCTGACGTGGCACTGTTGCAGACGTGGCACTACTGACATGGCATTGTACCAACCCGGAAATGCATGCAAAGGGGTGGGTTGGAGGAAAACGCAGGTAGGGAACCAACCCAACAATACTTTCCTCCCGGCCCTAATCAACAGATAAAAAATAAAAAAAAATAAAAGAGGACTGACTACTTCCTTTTTTTTTTTTTTATATATATATATGTCGATCTGTTATGAGTGAGACATGTCAAAAGAGTACTATGAGCGAGATCTAGGCTAGGTTCCGCAAAGTTTTGGCTTTCACAAAATGCGATCTTGAAAAAAAAAAATTGCGAGATAGAATAGAGATGCGATTCTCAGAAAAGAACTAAATCCAGTTTTCTAAGAATATGGCAACCTTCTAATATGCCTAACGAAATGTTGGTAGGCTTCGCAAGATTTCGGTTTTCAAAAAAATTTGCGAGATAGAATGGAAATTCGGTTTTCAGAAAAGAATAAATCCAGTTTTCGAGAATATGACCATTGGTATTGTTATCCTAATATGCCTAGAAAACGAAATGTTAACCTCAAAAATTTTTAGCTATGTATGCGAAATATCAGAGAAACGAAATTCTACTATCAGGAATTTTCAGATAAAATGAAATGCGATTGATTATCAGAAATTTCAGATATTTGTTGCGTGAAAACGAAATACTAATATCAGAAATTTCAAGTAAAACGAAATGCGATTATCAGAAATTTTCAGATAGTTGTTGCGAGAAAAGAAAAAAAAATTCAGAGATTTGATTAAGTCCTTCTTGGTTTACTAATGAGTAATGAATAGATCAAGCAAGCTTGCTACTTGATTGAGAGGGTCCTCTGAATGAGAGGTCCGCTCCGATACCAAACTGTTGCATACTGTAAAGGTGCAGACCAAAACAAGAACCGACCTCTCTAACAAAGTACAAGATAGCGCAGCTGAAAACTTATATACCAATGATCCGAACAATCAATATTGCAATGCAGCCCAGAACATACATCATCATCATCATTCCATGGTGTGAAGGGGTCTGACGCTCACATTGGAAGAATGCGCCAGCCCAACCATACACAGACGAAGAAGAGGAGGGGTTAGACGAAGAAGCAGGGAAGATGGGAATGTCGTCAACACCAAGTCTTCGGCACAGGCCCAAATAGTCCCTCGTCGAAATGTCGGTATCCCAATGTCGAGCCTGGATCCACTGTCGTCAAGTCTCAAGTCACAACTCTCTCTCTCTCTGTAGTAGTCCGCTGATACTGAGAAGCCAGGTGGTGAGAGGGGAAGAAGAGATGGTGGACTTAAAAGAGGAAGAAGAAGAACTTTCTCTCTCTCCCTCTCAGTCCGGTACTAACCTGTGAAGTTGGCGCCTTGATGCAGGTACCTCGAAGATGGAGCTGGAGCTATGGCGCCACAGGTAAGTCCCACTGGCCTCCGCCAACCATCTCTCCCAACTCTACTACTACCACCTACTAGCGGCCAGCGCTGAAGACTACTGCTATGGCTACCAGCGCCCAGCACAGAAGACTACTGCTAGCGCTAAGCTACCCTGCAGCGCTCCTCCTGAGTGCTGCGGCCGAAATCCTGAAGACTACTCCTGCCTTTTGTCCAACTACCTACCCGTGAAGTGCATGGGAACTCCCTATTTACTTCTCGGCCTGCCTCCTGACTGCAGGGCGAGGCAGTCCAGGAGGCTGCTCTTGCCAATGCCGCAGGGAGTCAGGGGCTGCCGCTGCAGCTCTTGCTTGAGGCTGTCGTGGGAACAGGCTAAAGATAGCCTGTTCCTGAAACCCTGGTTTTGTGCCTGAGTGTTAGGACAGGTCGATCTTATGAGGGCCAAAAAGTGGCCCTCCGTTTCAGGCTAAAAAGCCTCAGGGTTGAAAAGCCCTGTTTTAGGCTGAAACGACAGGGGCCTGTAAGCCTTTATTTCTAGGCTTTTAGGCTGGGAATGCGGGACGGGCCCTGCAGGCCCGTGTGGCTAAGCAGTATGCCACGCCCACGCACAAAACCCTTTCGAGCTTGTTGCTCCACTTCGGGATCTTGAGGCGCTGCAACCCTTAGATTCCCTGAATCTGCCCCTGTGGCACTCAGAAGCCAACATAAAATTATCTAGCCCCAGAGGGTTTTATTTCCACTTGAGATTGACACTGACTGTCAATCTCCCTTAGCGCTGCTCAGGGATGAAGACGCACAGTGATCCCTGAAGTCCTCAGGGGTAATTCGCCACTCTGAGGCACTTCGCTATCCTGCCCTCAAGGTTGGCTATGGCGAATTAGCCCTGTTCTCGCCACTTCCTGAAAGCGCCCTGACATGCTCAGTGCGCTTGCTCAGTACTAACACTGAACTCCGAATTTTGCCGCTTGAAATCTTCTTCCCGGCTGACTCAGTACTGGGGAAGATGAATTGCCATGAACCTCTGGCCAATATATCGCCAGATGAAGAAGATGCCCCCGTTGCACTCAACCCTCAGTGCTCCAATTCCAATTCCGCTCCGATACCAACTGTTATGAACTTGGTTGCCTCACGATTTTTACCGCCACTCACACACAGACAGTCTCATACACGCCCATACATGCATAAGAGAAGGGGAAGAGGAGACAGAGTCCAGAGTGTATGCAGACCAGAATAGGCAGAGGAATACAGCCATGCACAGGTGGGGAGAAGACACACAATGTTTCTCACTCTCTGACAAACTCCCAACAACCAATCTCGGAAGAAACCTGCGAGGATAACAATTGGAATTCACACTGATGAAGAGCCAATTAAACCAGATATCGTTACAGAGTTTGTTCCAGTACCTCGCCACACTCAGAACCCCACACTCCACTCTCTACCCTACACCCAGTTAGTAGCGCACAACCAAAACAGCCTCCCAGAGGCCAGCGCCAACCACCTATATGAAGAACAGAACCTGCGATGAAGTCTTCGGTGCTGATGGACAACTCTGACGAAGAACCCGCCACCCACAAACACTCAGTGAGGAGCCTCGATATAGCCTGGCCAGATGCAGATACCCTCAGGGGTAGATGCGTTGAGGATGCCCCAGCTCCGGCAACCTTCAGAAGGCCGGCTATGGCTGCCGTCCACAGCAAGGGTCCCAGGATGCCGCCTGTAGACAATTGCCACCGCCAACTTGCTTGGCTTCTCCAAACGCTGCGCCGCGAAAATGAACAGCCAGAAGTCCTCAACAGTCCTACCCGAACCTACTTGTAGACTCTACACTATCCTAGCCTAGGGCCTACCGGTACCGTTTCAATAATGGCCTCTCGGCCTCTACGAAATCGGTCCTGCTGCTACACTTAGGGCTCAAGGCCACTTAGGGCCGGTAACTACTCAGCCTGTACTGCTGTTAATTCCGTCTATTTTGAGAACAGCGGGCGACCCTCAGTGCAAACAAAACAAAAAAACACAGCAAACACACAGTGCACTGTACAGCCTCGCAGTCACTCTCGGCAGTCGAAATCAGCAAGTCATTGCAAAAGCCTAGGCCAGATGGTGCATCAGAGCTGTGCCCGACAGTGCTCGGTCGCTGGTCAAGCTGAATCACTGATGCGGTGCGGAAGGTGGCCTAGCTGTTTTAAACCAGCAGCATCCCTGAACCTATTTTGTCAAGCCTGGTGTCAACACCGACCCTGGCCTTCCCAACCTGAATGGTTAGGCCCACTGTGGTCTATCTTTTTGCTGTTTCGGCTGCATCCCGTTTTCGGCCTGGCGCCCTTTTTCCAAACTCCTCCTTTGGTACCGTAGGATTTTTGACAACTGGCGCCATGCTGCAATTCGGGCGGCACTTTCAAATACCGCATTTTTCAGTTCTGCCCTCGGGGCCTTTGCAGAAATGCCCCTGGTACCGTAGGTGTCACCGGTACTTATATCGGCTCCCCGTACGGTACGGGGACCAGTCTTGTACCAGTTTTCTGCTTCTGTACTCGTACTCAGTGTGACTTGCTGTTTCGACATCTGGAATCCAAGACTTGGACTTTGTACCTTGCCACTGTGTCTGCGTCCGACCCTCAGTCGTGTCGAGTGAGTGAGTGTGTGTGTGTGCTCTCACTCTCCCCCTCTCTCTCTCCTCTCCCTCGGCTCTCCCTCAGCCTCACGCCCGTCACACACTGGGTCGCAGCAAGGAGGGGCAATCATACTTGTTTGGTTTATGCCTTTCTATTTTTTTGGTGGTTTTGTTTGAACTTTCTAATTTGTCTTGCATTTGGGGGCTCAAGATTCCCTTCCCATACCCCCGCCCCTGACACCTTTTCGCACCCCTTGCACGAGTTATGCCAAGCCTGCTGCCGGCCTCCTTTCACTCACTTGCTGGCCCGCTGTTGTGGGCAGTGGTGGCTCAAGCGTTTTTTGTTTTTTTTTCGCCCAATCTGTGTGTTATCCTTCTTGTGCTGGGGCATGGCTCGTTTTTCTATCTTTGCGATTTGAATGGTTATCCCAATCGTACGTTTAGGATGGAATTGTGGCCTCAGCAGATGGGATAAGAGGGTCATGACTGATACCGGTAATCTAGTACTTCTTTTAAAGTTCTTCCGTTCGGGGTACGCTACGTCGCGACCTATCCCGACAACATTGTTCCCATATGTGAGAAGGGCTGTCCGATTAAGAAGTGCACTTTCTGACATTTATCAACGGTGTGCCGGAGAACGCAA